GGGGGGGGGGGGGGAATTTTCACAAGAGAGGGTACCAGACCAGGGTAACACAACCCTTGCCGACCAAAACCAAAGACAAGCTCGTATTTATAATTATTTCAATAAACCCTACCGAAAACTCCGAAACGTTTAAACCACCCCCCATTCGCCCCTAAAGGAGCGTCGGGACGCCTAGCAAAGAGAAAGACCAAAAATCCGGCGTACTTAGTCTCCGATCAATTCAAAGAGCCCCAAAGAGCCGCACCTGTAGGAGCTGTCACTCTGGCCACGTGTTCAACGTGCTTGACATTAGGTAACGAGGCTTTATAAGGGTAGTTAGCCTTTTTTCTAATTGGGTCAGAGCAAAACGTAAAATGGGTACAAAGATCCGACGACACGTGCGGACCTTAACCGGTCGCTAATTGCCGACATGATTATTTACCCCTGCGATCATCCCTTAAATGAACGTCGACCAATTTCGGTTCCTGGATATACCCCATTGACAAATTGGACAACAGGCCTCTCTCAAAATCACCCTTAGTCAGCACGGCGGCTGTATGGTCTAGACCAGCCGGTATGTGTACTCGTAACTAAAGAAAACTACCCCTTTCTCTACAACCGCGATATTCTGATACCTTATGCGAGTATTTATCGATAAGGATGAAAATAAACGTCCAGCCTAGCATAGATAAGGCCGATATCACAGAACTTGCCGAACGAAGCATAGCTACTCAGGGTGGCAACCAGAAGGGGTTGCGCTTCGCGGCTTGCCTCGCGAAAACCCTGAGGACGTCTTAGCTGGCGGGAACAGCTACGGAAGCGGCTTCCCTTATCTCGAGTCTGCAAGACTGCCTCCGGTAATACTCAAGCGCCAGAACCCCTTACGAGCTCGCCCCGTGAAATATCACTAAACGGCTTGGGCTCCTCTTCTATTTCTGAATCTTCATCTTTTACTCTTACCACCCCTTACTTTTATCCTCTACGTCTGACCCTCTCTGTCCTCATTCTACGGTATAACCCATATCAAGTTCCTTTTTAAGATACCGCGATGCTCTATTTTTTTCAGCTATAATAAACGTTCCATTAAATCTCTTGAGATTTAGGGGGTAAACAATTTTTTTCTCGATAAATAATGACTTTTCGATAAAAGATATTACGAGTAATTGCGCGAATTATTGATTGCGTAATACAAAATGATAGCTTGGGAAGAATCCCGGAACGGTGATAACGATTGGAGACCCAGGGGAGAGATTTTGCGTGCGGATCCTCCTGTTGGGCTTTTGTTTCTAGGAAACGACGTGGGAGAGGAGAAAGTAAGGTAAAAAAGAGGGTGGTGGAGGGGGATGGGGGTTGAAGGAGAAATCAAAGCAAGATGCTCGGCAACTTTTCATTTTATTTTTCTAAGTCGAAATGCCGATTCACCCTCGTAGAGCGCTAGAGGGCGCAAGGTACAAGAGGGTGGGCTTCTGCGCTAAGGGTTGTAAAAGTGTGGGAGGGTCGCCACACTGTTCCGGGGTTCTCATTCGTTATGTACGCTTCGGATAATAAGGCCGGGCGGTCGGTTGTTTTGACAAGAGTCGAACATCCTTAAGGAACGGTAGAACAAGGGTGGTTCCTATGGGGTGTTATAAGGGGGGCGGGTTGGTCGTATGGGACGGTAGCAAAATATCGTAAACGGTATAAGAACAGCGGCAAGCTGACTGTATATGTATAAGGTGCTTGAAAATGACGTCTAAATATAGGAGGGGTAGGTGCGACGCCTCACGACGTCGACGTCGAAACGAACGGGCGCTTCATTATACGCGACGCAAGCACGCTTCGTTTGTCCCCGGAAGTCGTGCTTTAGAGGGTGAAGGAGGACCAAGAGAGTCAGACAGGGACATCCGAGGCTTGGCAAGCGGTGCTAGAAGGGTGGGAGAGAGAGAGCGAGAGAGACAGAGAGGGCCTTGAAATAAGGGTGGGTGGAAGACATAGGAGAGCGTAGAAGCGCGAGAGACCAGGGGGTGGCGTGAATTAATACAATCACGTGGGGTCGCGCTATTCGCTGCCATGGTACCATCCTGAGAAGGTGGTTTTATTGTAGGTGGGGGGGGGGCGGGAGAGGGCGGGAGAGGGCGGAAGGACGTCGGGGATGCTCTAAGATAACCCACCCTTGCTTGTCATCGAAATTATACGCTGCCAACTCGCGACCTCCTTTCCCATGACTCTTCAGGACCTCGCGAGACTCATATTAGAGGACTTTGTATAAAATCACCTAACTACCCTTATTTTCCCGTACTCGTTCTCTTCAACGGTTGCAACTCCTCGTGTTACCGATCCATAATCTCAAAATCAATCGTTTCACCGACCGAAGCTTCCTTAGCGTAACAGTCGAGAATATAGGATTTTTGCGTCTGGTTAACATCTCGACACGTCGCTGGTTCTACTTATTTTCCATCTGATCTCCCTTGATCTTTCCTCTTTGGTCTTCCTCTTTTTTTCCTTTTCTTTTTTTTTCTTCGTCACTTTCTTACGATTCTATGTATTCAAACTACCTTTACATTTTTTTTTTTTTTCATTATTCCTTCATTATTCCCCGCCGATTCCAGAAGGATTACTCGGCCCGCTGGCATTAAGGCAGTTTTTAATAAAATCAGAAGACCGTCGGGGCGTGTCAAATGGAAATATGCACGTTGGGTCGGAGGGATTTGGCGAACAGGGGAGACCTTCCGTTTGTAAAATGGTGAAGATTGAGGAGGGATGACGGGGTGGTAGGGGGGTGCGGGGCTCAACTCGATAACGATGGAACTCACCCTCTTCGATTCTCTGCCGTTTTTCTCCTCCCTCATTTTTACTTTTTTACTCCTCTTATTATTTTTTCTCCCCCCTCTCCCCCCCCTCTCTCTCTCTCTCTCTCTCTCTCTCTCTCTTACTAGCCATTCTCGAAACGATGAGAAACGTATTTTTATTCTCTTACCGGATAAACGTGGGCGTCTTGCAATCAGTACGTGCTTCGAATTAGCGACTGTATCTACTGTATAAGGTGGTACAGTGATTTTCTACGGCACGTACCATACGCTTCTCTTACTTCGCCTATCATTCTCTCGTTATTTCTCTTAGGGGCGTGTGTTTTTTTTTTTCTTATTGCCATCAGCCTTCACCCCTGTCAAGATTCTCTTGCAGTTAGCCGTCGATTCTCTTCTTTATATACTCTCGTCTCTCACTGGCAATCTCTTTCAGGGCGAAGTATGTCAGGGAAGCCGTTGGGGATAGCAAAGTCGATAAACGTGACAAATGCCGAGCATCCGACGAGCCATCAGAGTGCCGTCAAAGTTCCAAACACTTATGGGTTCCTATTTATTTTACGGGGCTTCTTATCGGCACGCTGCTGCCTCGTAAACAGTATGGTGTCTCTACATGGCATTTGGATCTGTGCGTCAAGGCAAGAGGTACAGACGCGTGAAAATGTGACTTTTGTTAATTAATCGAATTACGCGAAAAATAAAAATCGTTATGGTAAAATGAGAAAAAGAAATGGCATATCTTGATAAAATTTTCAACACAATTTTTAACTGCGTTAAAAACATTGAATTTAACTCTGTTTTCAATTTAACAGTCGACTTCTTGCAGCTTCTCGTGACCTCCCGTAGCACTGGCTCTACGTAAAGGGGATGATTTTTTGGTCGTATGGGCGAGGGGTTGTAAATTCGGTAACCATCCTTACCGTTATAAGGAGACGTCGAGGCACCCCCTCCCGGTCTGTCGTCTTGTATCTACCCTAGTTCGTCGAAATTTCTCAGGGACGAGCGAGCAGCCTACGAGGCCATGGGGTGAGTTTGCGTGGTCGGGGATGCCACGGGGGTGGTTTCTCCCCTTTAAACCTGATTGGATGCAGAGTTATCTCGCGCTGCGTTACTTCCGGATGATTGGTCGCTGCGGTCGTCATGACTACCCTCACCACCACCACCGCCACCCACGTGGGGACCATACCAACCCCTAGTACCCTCGCCTCGTATGCTCGCCTGCATGTCCTGATAACACTGTACCCATTCTCTCGTACCTTCAGACCCTTTCGAGAACCATCCCCCTTTGCCCAACCCTTCGTGTCATCGTTCGACGTAGACCCGCCGTGAAATCGTTCTTAACACGTTTTAAACAGCCACCCCTTTTTTTTCAACTCGAACCA